GTCTCAACCCCCGTGGGTGGTCACAAAAACACGTTTCCTTTGTAATTTCTTCTTCTTTCTTTGGTGGCTGGGGGGGGCGGGAATAATTTGGAAGTCTGATAGTGTGTGGGAAATGATTACATCAGTCGGAGGGAGGGCTAGGATTGGTCTACACAGTGTGGTTTGATTCACTACCGCAAAGATTGCGTGTAACCCTTTGAGTGGAGCTCTGGCAGAGTTGTTTCCCTCCCCAGAAACAGTGCCCGTAGCGGGGCTACGTGACAGGTACGGTTCGGCTGGGCCCCAAAAAAAAATGCCCGCCGGCACCCCGGGCGCCCACCCCTAGGCTGCAGAGGGCCAGCGGAGGCAGAGAACAAACTCTCAAGAGGCAATCTCTTTTTAAAATGCCATCTTGTTCTTCCGACTGCTGCCTTTTACGTGCCGTTGAGGTAAGATTTTCCATATCGAATTACTCTCCAGGTTTCTGTTGGATTCGCCTTCCCTTGCTGGGATGCGGAGCGTTTTAACTGCAGAGTTGATCTAAATCTCAGACCTGGACACTGACCCAGAGCAATAATTTTGCAGCAAGTGTCTCTCGTTTGAGCAGAACAATGCAAAGAGGAAAGCATCTGTGTAATTCAGGAGGTGGGGAGAAGGTTCCTGACTTGTTCTCTCATCTCCATTAATATTTAGGATGTGCAGTATGTGCGCCTTTGGTTTCACACTACTTTCAAGCTAGGATCAAAAGAGAAGTTGGGGCGGGGAGAGAAACGTGTGGACTGTGCTAGCTGATTGATCCATCGGTGAACTGCAAGTGGGACTTCCCCAAACGAAACAATCAAAAGTTAGTGGGGGACAAGAGAGCCATTTTTAATTTTCGGGGTCTTGGCCTGCTTCTCTGTAAACGTTCAGAGGCCTCCGATGGGACCGCAGAGGAAATCGTGTGTGTTTAACTGGATGTAATTTCTCTTGCCTGCTGTTGCCAGAGTACTCTCTTGATATTGTTTCACGTTTGCTTACCTTACACAGTTTTATACAGAACCCGCTCTCTCGCTTCTCTGCGTATGTGGTCGCTTTAACCCTGCTAAATCTTTGTTTAGTGCAGGGAGGTGTCGGGAGGGGGGAGGGGAAATAGGGCAAGGGGGCATCAAGAGAAAGTGTTATGAAGTGAATCATCTGTGTCGTTTTTCCCGGCCACCAAGGTGCCTGGAACCCTCACTGCCAAGAGGATGCTTTTCTACAGTAGTTGTGTGATTTGCCTATGTTTAGAGCTGTTGATCTGTAAGTGTACCCTTTATGTTGCAGGATGTAAAAGTCTTTAGTGAAGATGGAACAAGCAAAGTGGTCGAGATTCTAGCAGACATGACAGCCAGGGACCTCTGTCAGCTGCTCGTTTACAAAAGTCATTGTGTGGATGATAACAGCTGGACTCTAGTGGAGCATCACCCTCATCTAGGATTAGGTAGGGAATGGTCAAAGGGGTGGCATGGTTACCTGGGAACATAAAATATTTGCAATTCGTATTAATATGCTTCCAGTCAAAACGTTTTCTTTCCACTGCTTTTATTTGTGCAATTAGCTGAAGTCACATATGTGCTTTTTTGTGTATTTCAATTTGATGTGTTAAGCGTTTTAGCCATTTTAAGTCCTTCTGTTATTTCCCACCCTCTTTTTTTTTTTTTATTATAAAATAATTGTCTAATCTTCACACTAGCTCTCTGTTGCTACCTTGCTGTGTCTGAAGCTACTGCAAATAAACAGCTTAAGCAAATTAAGCTTGATCCTTAGAGTACCAGTCCTGTGAAACAGCTCAGCTCATCACCAGCTGGGAGACCTGGGTGAACAGACTCAGCTTTGCATACCTACAGTAATGCTTATGAAAGCTAGACATGCTGAGGTGGGGGAGGGGGTTGGCTAAACTTGACTTCAGACAGGGAAAAAAATGGTGGTACCACACGCAAATCCATGGGCAATTTCTCAACCAGCAGTGGCATCTGCGTTTCAGGCAGCAGCTCCTCTACCTGACTGAAACTAAGGTGTCATGGTTACAGTTGCAAGAAGGGAGAAAGAGGAAGAACTGTGGGGAATTAAACAACACCGTGAATTGGTTTAATTACAGTACCTGAAAGGATCTCATGTTGTTCAGTCTTGCTTTTCCTGTTATTTTGTGGCACTGATTAGCTGCAGGGTGAATGCTAGCTGTAGTTCACAGAGGCTTTTTATGTCTAAAAACATAATTCAGAACCCTTACAAATAAAAAAGGAAACAACTTTCTGGAGATTTAATGCCCTAAACTGATACTGTTAAACAGATAAATACACCACTTTACAGGATAACACTCAAAAAAAAAATATTATCCTGATTATTTAATGGTTTTGTTGGATATCTCTCCCAATACAGACATATGTGGAAAAAAAAAAATGACACACTCATTTGTATGTGTCTGTGATACAGTTTCAGTTCTGAGGACATAGAACGTGGTAAAAAATTAAGGTGTAAATTAAAGAATCTTTGTATCCGTAGCTTAATATACCATATGTGTGCTTCTAACAACCTTTACAAATTTTCAGTTTTATCAATGCTCATTAAACTACCAAGCTCTCTTTTTCTATATTCGCTTTCCCATCATTGCTGATTGCCAAGGTATTGTGTAAACAGAAGCCTTCTCCTTTGTAACCAACATCCTTCTCCTGCCAGATTCATTCAATGATGCCACAATTCAGTGTTTGTGACATCACAATAGCTTCCATGGTGACTAATTGTGCTGTCAAACTCTGGTGTGTGACATCTCTGAATGAATCGGGCAGGAGGCTGATTAGGAAATCAAAAGCTTCTGTTTACACACAAATAACTTGGTAATTAACAATGATGGGAAAAGGGCAAGATACTTATCGGGCTGCATTTATATACATGGGGACCTGCCTGCCTTGGACCTCTGTTTCACATTGAAGCACAAAGTGGGGCCCTGGCTGGCCCAGAGAAATGGGGTGTGCAGGCTGGGGCTTCAGCAGCCACCAAACTTTTTTCGTTTCTGCAGGGAATGCCGCAGGGCTGTCCTCTGTAGGCCATGCCGTCGATCTGTGTGAAAGTAATGCAGCCTTTGAGCGCTTAAAGTGAACAGACAAAAGAAAAACTGTCTAAAGTATCAAAAAGATGTAGTGATGCAGATTCCACATATTTGAAAGGATGTGGATAGGAAAGGGAATAAAAGAGTTCACTTAACTGGAGAGAGGAACATCCAGTTTCTTGTTATTTGGGACCAAGGTATGCACTGTGATAATAAACTTTGAAATTCAATAAACTTTAAATATCAACTTCCATGTGTCCAGCCAGTTTTGGCTGCAGTTTGAGTGTTTCTTTTTTTGTCACATGGCTACTTATTCCTAGCTGCTCAGTAGCTTAAAGGCTTCCCTGTAGTAATCTGTCTGCACCTTAGGGTGAAGTTATTATCTGATGTTCCATATTTTTCCCCTCTAGAAGTAAGATTTATAGTGGAAGTATGAAAGGATGGTGAATAGATGCTTAGCGGTGTGGAAAGAAATATGGTTTAAGAGCAGTGAGAATTCTGTGTTTTCAGAAGACATTTTTTCTTAAAACATCCTTGCTGACTTACTGCTGTAAGTGCTAATCTTGAAGCCCATCAAAAGAGGCAAGTTCCTTCATTAAGTTCACTACCGTATTTTTTTTTCCCCTGATCTTGCCTAATATTACCTACCAAAAGAGCTCAATTTGCAGAACCAGTTCATATTTTTACTGTTGCGCTAAGGACAAGATCACATTTTTGAAGCCAGCTGCATATTTATCACCGTGGTGATATTGTAGGTGCTGGGTTTTAAGGAACCTTCACCTGACTGCTTACTTTGCACATGTAGTCAAGTGTATTCCGAACAACTCATGTGCTTACAAGTAACTTTGGACAGCTGATGGATTGCACAAAGTATTCGTGTTTTCACTGCAGGCAATGGTGTGATGATTTACCATCAGACTTGCTTAGATCTGATATGTGGAAATGGTTCATGCTGCACTGTACCCCTAGTATCTGAACCACTTTGTGGGCAAGATTTAAGCAGTCTGTGAAACTTGAATTGGTCTCGTTATTTCATTTGCAACTAGACAATACACCTGACCTGCTGATAAAATGTGGTATTCTCTTTCTGTGCTTGTCTGTGCTTAACTATCATCAGTATAGGATGTGGACTGAGATATCTGTATTGGACATTAAAAGAAATAATAGTAATAATTATATAGATGACAGACTGTCATGATAGTGTATGTCTGGACACTGAAAGAATTCCTACCTCCAAGCCTCACTTTTCCAGCTCCAGAATTGAGTGTACATCTTATTTCCTGCAGTTGAAGCAGGAAAGAAAAGTGTTAGGGCTCTCAGATCTACGTAGGGCTAAACCAAAGAATTGCTGACTGGTTTTGTACATAGATTTTCTTGTTTATGTGTGCACTAAATTTGATTTGCCTTAACCTGAGGGAATGAAAAGTGGAACAGTTAGATGCGGCGCTTGTTACTAAAATACAGACCCAGGGTGGGCTATTTCACACTCAGTCCACCTGTCATTTGTGTAGTGTTTCTCTAACTGGGAATTTTGGGTCATGCCTGCAAGTTGTTCGCAATGGAGTCCAGCTCCTTGTCCTATCTCAAATCACGTCCACAGTTCTCTAGAAGTTTAGATAATAATACAGGACTTTTTTTTTTTTTAAGAAAAAAAAAGGAGAAAGTGTCCTTTTCTTCTAGCGAGTATGTAGAGGGGATGACCCTATCAGATAAACTAAAGGGAGACATTTCTGGTCATTTCAGCAGCAGTGGAACTTGAGGGCAGACTGACCTATTGAACTTAATAGGCTGATATCTGTGCTTCTAGTTTTGTAGCAGAAAGCTCAAAGCATGGCTGAGGTTGAGTTGCTGGTGTGTCAAGTGGAAGTTCATCCCATTTGTACTAACTGAGGGCAATATTACCAAGGGCTTCTCAAGTGCACAACTTCTACGAAGGAGTAGCAAACTGACCAGGACTGATTTCCTTTTTACATGCACATGCTATGAAATGCTGCACCTTTTCTTCAAGATGGCTTTCACTGTCAAAATGACAATGTGAATGTGAAATCAGCAGGAGCATCAAGCATCACCACAAAATCTCAAAAGGGTCTTGATTTAGTAAAGAAATACATGTAGATCAGTTGCCTAAAGTATCTGAGAAACAGTCACTGGCTATATTTACACAAACTTAGCAATCAAAATACAAACCAAACTGACAAATATTTATCTATACTGCATTTCCTCAGGGAAATGAATAGGCCATGGGTCGTCCCTGTCTTTAGGCAGGCAATCTTCAGTATGTTAAGAAAATGAAGACCACAACTTTGTGCAATTACAGAAGTGCAGACAGTAGCAGGACACGTGTTCCTATGGTGATGAAGAATCGTGTCAACATAATTAGATGGTTTTTTGGAGGAAGCATGATTTAAAAAACAGTGCCTTCTGCTCTCATAGGCCTCCTATCTCCCATTTGAGAGCAGGCAGTATGGAAAATCTTCAGTGTTAACCCCTTGAAACACCATCGACAGCAAAACTGGTCGCTATAAATTCACGGTAAATGCTGAAGTTATCAGTGAGCTGGTGATGAGTGACAGTCTAAATGCAGGTAAAAAAGACAATGGGATCATTCAGAGACAGGTTAAATTTCCAATCAGAGAACTTATATTAATCTGCGAAGTTGAATAATTCAGGTGACATTGAAGAGTTTGCTACTTTTTATGTAGCAATGACTGCTTGCTTTCTATCCTGAAAACACCCCAAGGAAACTTGGGTGGCGGCCTGGCATTTCTAACCATGGGAATGTGAGAATGCAGGAACATGAAGTGGGGAAGGGACTCTCCAAACTTCCTTGGCCAGCAAGGTTAGAGATTGGTTAGATGTTTTGGTTAGAGATTTACAAAAGTTATTTTTTTGTTTTACCTCATTTTTTATTTCCTATTATATAAGGGATGAAAGTACTGACTAGTAAGAATTTTGAAAATTGCCTAAATATTTTCTCAGAAACTTTGTAAGATTTGCTGAGATAATGAGTTCGTGAAGTAATGCACACTTAGCCCAGTTGTCTTCTTTCTAGTTACTGCTTTCAGTGAATCGGATTGTTAAGCTATCTGTTCATGCTTTGATATTCCATTCTTTTGACCAGTGAGGTGGTGGTTATGGGGAGTTACCTCGTAACCAAATCTAGAGCAGAAAATTGCCCTGTCATGTGTACAAAACACTTGTCTCTGTCAGTATTCCTATGAAGTAGATCCTGTGACCTCTTTCATAATAAACCACATTGTCTAGCATCTACAATAAGGGCCTGAAGTTCACCTTGAAATGAACTGGTTTTATAGAGTGTGATCAAGTGGGACACAAACATATTTCTGTGATAACTCAAGGCCTTCTTGCGACTTTTTTCGTGTTAAATCTGTCCACCTTGCCACTTCTACAGCATATAGCCAGCACCAAAAGAAGAAGTTTGTGTATATTATTTAAATTACTGCAAACAAAAAAATCGACGTTCTTTCTTTTCTCAATAGTGTGTGCTTATGAAGCCTTCATGTAGGAAATCTTGGAAGAACACTGCTATGTAACATTAAACTTTGTAATACTTATTATGCCCTAGTTCCTTTAAATGCCTCATGACAGTATGATTTGAAAGCTAGAATATGTTTTGTTATCTTCTTAAAGGCAATAGAATTACACTGGATTGTTTTACTCCACTTCTTTGGAAGTTGGTCTTGCTGTTTCTGCTGGTTGGCTGTGTGTTAACATCATGTTCTTTTTCCACAGAGAGGTGCTTGGAAGATCATGAGCTCATAGTTCAAGTCGAGTCCACAATGGGAAGCGAAAGTAAATTTTTGTTCAGGAAGAATTATGCAAAATATGAATTTTTCAAAAATCCCATGGTGAGTCTCATTATTTGGTTGTTTACAGAGAGAGGGATGGATTGTAGTAGTATTGCTGGGTGCTCTTATGTCTTCAGTGTCTACTGAAAACAAACAAACAAACAAAAAAACCAAACCAACAAGCAGAATTCTTTCTGAAGAAATTTTAACCAATGTTTAAAGTCTTTGTACTATTCTCCCAGCCGAAAAACTTCAAGTGTTTTCAAGTTACCAAATATATTTGTTTCAAAATGGCTAGTGTTCTCTTGGAGAGCAACCAAGACAGGGAAATCGTTGTTGGTTTAAGAAAACAGAAGTGCCATTTACTCGTTCTCGTCAAGGTTACTTGATTTGAAGCAAGTTGATGACATAGCCTGCAGTATCCAAACTTTCTAATTTCTGACAGTAATAATTTTTTTAAAGAGCCCTCTGGGTAAACCCTAAAGCACTTACTATGTACAAGGAATTTCCAGTTTGTTGTTCTATATGTTGAACAGTCTCTCACAAGTGGCTGTGCTTTATAAGTGTGCTGTGCCTTCATTACTGATCATAGTAACTCACCCTCTCTATGTCCTCATCTGTGTCTATGCTTGAAAAGTATTGCATGTCATAGCTGTACTCATTCCTGGGCTTGCTAGATCCTTTGAATGTGGTAGTTTTAAACTGTTTGCAGTGTAGCTGCTTATTTGGAATGATTTTTCACATTTGATCTAAACAATTGTTGGGACAGGCTGTTGACATGAAGCGATGTCAGCTGGTGTGACCCAGCTAGATAGCTGAAGAAGGATAATCCAGAGGTGGTTTAGGTGAGAACAGATTTCGGGCCAGTTGGGCATTTGTGGTGCCAGAATAAAAGATACATGAGGTCACATGAAAGCTCATTGCTGAAGTTACTGAGAAAGAGAAATTGATTCCTTTCCTCATAGATGCTGATGTACAGTTGCTGTGTCCTCGCGTGTGTGCTTGCACATATGTTTATCGTCTGTTAGGGCATGTTTCAGAGGCTGTGCCTTGACTTTACTGTGTGAAACATTTCTCTGTGTGGAGTGTTAGTAATTTTTCACTTCTGTTGATCTTCCCATCTGATAACCTGTGAACATCCATGTGTTGGTCGTAATTTTGGTATCATAGAAGCTAGAACATTGGTTTCATGTGATATACTTTAATTAATAACAGAGCACAGGAGTGAAACCTAGGATGCTTGGCATTCAGTCCCAGACTCCTGCAGTCAGAGAATAAATCATACTTTTGGTGTAAGGTTGTCAAGGCTCCCTATCCATTGCAATAGCTGTTGCCATATGCCAGTGCTTCTACTCAAGATGGCTGGTGAAATCTTGGCTTTCATAATTCATTGTGCAACTTACCTGGCAGAAGGCAGGTTCCACTTCAGCCTTTCTCTTTATGCCCTAAAGACTGAAATTTAAATTGTCTGAAGAGTGATGAATATTCTAAACTGGAAACATTTTTCTTGTGATTCATCTTGTTATAATCAGTCATTGTTTTGTTTCAGGCATTTCTGCATGTCTTGATGTTTCAAGTAATGTTTAAAAACTTCAAGAATTACTTGATGTAATTGCTGTGTATAGTAAATTCAGTGTACCAAATTATATAGGCATTTTAAACCATGGCAAATGAAAAGGGTAACTGGAGGAATATATCTGAAGTCAAGTCATCAATTTAGCAGTAAGAAAACTGTCTGGCCTTTGTCATGCAAAGATTCAGTATGAATGAGATATTGTACCGGATGCCTGAAATGGAAAAGCTCTGTAGAAGCACCTGTTTGTGTGTTAAACAATATTTGCTTCTGTGTTTGTGGGGTGGGAGAAAGGGGGTGGATGGCTGCTTTGAGATTGTTCAAATCTATCATGTGAAGCAGGGCATCCAACCTGGAGCCCAATTATTGCATGTGTCCTTGTTCAGATTTTCTTATTTCATTTCATGGAATGTATGCTGACCTGTCCTTGCAAAGAAAACAGAAAAACATTGGGCTCTGTTACGTTACCTTGAAATACAAACATATAGGGATAGAATTTGCGAAGGGCTTTTCTCTCAACAGATGGAAGTGTTTCAAGCCCTGAGCAATAACCTGGCTGTTAAATAATAACCAAGTGAAGGCATCAACAGTCACACATGAGCTCTTTCTCCTAATCAGAGCCTTTGAATGGCATTTCATTTGGAGCCTTCTGAGGGACTGAGCAGGTTTTAGGGTGAAGCAGATAGAGCACTAAAAATTCTATTTTGGATAGAAAGAGAGTGCTATCAACGGTAAAGCTGTACATACTGGAGATCCTGAAGCATCCCCACCTGAGACTTCTTTTAGTGCATTTACATCCAGCTTACCCCTCTGAGGGTAGAGAAAACTTGTTATTCTTCCTGCTCTGCTTCTTCCACATGGCAAGTGGAATTACAGCCTTTCTGGACAGAGAGGGAAGCCCAGAAATATGGTGGCAGAATATGCAATAAGCAAGTAGTCACTGTGTACCCAACCTGCAGGACAATTCATCCCATCCTTTCCAAGGAGGTAGAGGCTGTTAGCTATCCCAAAAGGCTTCAGTAGAAAAGGAAGAGGTGGGAAAATGCACTTATGAAATGCTGCATATCAGATATTTTAAAAATACACGTTCTGTCTCCATGAGTGGTTTGGTCAGCAGAAAGAAAGGAAGAACTACACTTGAAAGCCCTAGTATTACTTTCTGTATCAGGGGATCTCCAAACTGATTCAAGAGTGATAGCTTAAAAAAAAATGAATGACTGGAAGACAACTCCACCTGTTCTGTGTAAAAGTGTTGAAATACAATGTCTCTTGCAATTGTCTTCTCTTTTTGTGTCTAGAATTTCTTTCCAGAGCAAATGGTTGCCTGGTGCCAGCAAACAAATGGCAGTATCCCACAGTCACAAATTCTGCAGGTACTGTAAGTTATCCAGTTATCTAGTAAGAAGGTTTTGGGGTTGAAGGGGCAAGGTTAAGACGAAGAAAGGGAGAATTCAAAGGTCTGGAAATAGCTGGTTGGAGAAAGATCAGTGTAGTGAGTTAGGATATGGTACCAATGTTGAAAATATCTGACACAGGTCTTGCCCAGTAGCACTGAGTTGTAAGTGCTAAACACAGAGTAACCATAGCTGTGTTCATACAAATTTGTTCCATTCATTTTCAGCTTACTCTGTGGGTACCTGATCTGGCCACCTAGTTTTTTTCTTTAAAAAATGTCAGCAGGTATATTTCTAGAAAAAGAAAGATACTTTGTAAGAAGCCAAACAAAAGTACTCTTCTATACTCCTCATCATAGCATAGGAGGAAGTGTAAAAATTTGTGCATACATAAGAAGATGGGCTTGAGGTGGTGAAAGGTTTTACTTTTACTTTCTATATCCCATGTTTGTGCCTGATGGGAATTAACAATAAAGACCAACTTCCCTATGGTTCAGGCAACTAGCTACTCTTTTATATAGAAAAGTAACTCCTAAGAGGTAAGTTCAAGTAGTTACAGAAAATTGTATGTAGTATTAGCAAAGTAACCCCATTTAGAGCTCCCAAGTTAAATTTCAGGGGTGTGTACCTTATGCATGTGTGTTGATGGAGTTGTATAATCTGCATGGCAGCAGCACGTGCACTGAGTTTATTCTGATGTCACTGTACAGTTTCTTGAAGGTACAGTGGTAGTGGCACAGTTGGTTGGCCTCCAGGGGTGGTTCTGAAGGGTGGGCTACCTCTCTGACTAGTAACTCATTCACCTGAACCTCTCATTTTAAGCTCTCCAACCTAAATCCTATAGTCTAATTTTTTTCACTTTAGTTGTTTTCTCAGTTGAGGGATATTCAACTCATGAGGCAAAATTAAAACACATATTAAAAGACTACTGTATTAAAAATAGTAAGACCACGATGCTTGGAAGACAGTACCAGAAATAACAGGCAAATTATAAAGCAGAAGGCACAAATATATGAAAAAGTATACATACAATTAACTGATTGTAGCTTGCTTTCTGTCATTTTGCATGTTTGCAAGTGTGCACCAACTCTCTTTTTAAATAGAACAAATTTTAATTGACTTTTAAACCAGTCCATGCATTTTGTCCTGTAAGCACTGCACAATCCATTAAATGCTGGCTCCAGGTTCACTGAAAGGAGTTGAAAGCGTTAGAATCTGCTCTCAGCTGGGAAATGGAACAAAAATCAAACCAGTTTCTGGAATTAAAAATGAAAGTCACATGCAGTGAGGTTTCAATTGGAAACCAAAACTGGTGTGAACAGGCATTGCCACGGACTGGTGGACCACTCCACACCTTGGACACTTTTTCCTGCAGCGTAAGTGGAGAATTGAGTTTGCATGTTAATACAAACAGCAGGACTCTGTAAAAGACCAAGAAGTTCTTGAAGATGGAAAAGTTTCGAACCTTGGGTAGCTGAAGCAGTAGGGGAAGGAAAACCTTACAACCTTGTAAGATCTGAGAGTTTGTTTCTGGGAAGGCTCAGTTGGGTACAGTCCTGGAGAAGCATATGTCATAGGAGTTAACAGCACCAGAGGGTGGGGGAAAGATGATGGGTACATGGTTCATTGTTTAGCCATGAAAAACAATTTTTCTTAAAGCATTTATATTAAATATACCTTTCCTTTCTAAAAAACACAAGCATCTTCCATACTTTCAATTACAGTTGTTCTTTGTTGAAGCTAAACTTCCTGCAGTGACTAAGCCTGTTGCGTCTGAGGCCACCTCAAACAGTGAGCAAGTGCACTGTTTTTAATAGCACACAGAACAGGGAAGAACATTAAATATCATCTCAGGATATCATATACTGCATTAAGAGCTAGTATTTTTAGTCTTAACACTAGCATTAAAAACAGTGAGATCTGTTTTCCCTAATGTCAGCCTGGCTCAGGTATGCAAACAACTTGCATCTTAGTTTGCTTTTGGTTTATCTGGCTGGACAGGGAGAATATATTCTTCATTTGGTCTTTCACTTTCACAGTGGATAAGTGAATTTATAGCACAATTAGCAGGAAAATTGACTGTCCTTTTCCATTCTGTTAGATGAGAGGGGGAGAAGGGCTGGAGGAAAAAAAAAGAGGTTATAATGCAAGTAAGAATTCTGACACAGAACACTGATTTTTCATTTTATTTCCTGTGGGTGTTGTCCACCAAATAACACCAGAATACAACTTTCAAGTGTTGTAGAGGCATCTAGGCTAACTAGGTTTATGCATTTTTCTTCCTACTATTGAATTTATTAGTTTGGCATTTAACTTGCTGAGCATTTAACTTACTCTGTCTTTTAAAAATCTGACCCACTGTAATAAGGGAGCAGCCCATCAATTCACTAAGCATAGTTAATACTTCTTTCCGTTGACATATGTGTTCCCTCTAATTATGTCAAAAACTTAAATACTTCTATATCTTGAAGTCTAGACACTTCTTGAAGAAGTGACTTCTCGAAGTCTGACACTTACATGCCTGCTGTACAATTTTGAGTTAAATACTCAGCTGTCTGTCATACCTCCTGTCTTGGGACAGGTTCATGTGCTATAGGAGACTTTAATGTGGGAGATGCTGAAATAGGCTGTTGCCATTCCAAAACTTGAGGACAAAGTTGCAGATTTTGACCAATGTTTCCAAGTTAGACTAGTTAACCCAGTTGTTGAGAGTTAGTAAGTTTACTTCACGTCCCTTCAGGCCAAGTTCGAGAAGAATGGGGATACAGAGAAACAGATTTTTGGAGATACAGGTGTTGACACAGAGAATAGGAACATGTCAGTGGCAGGAGCAGTTACTTCAGTAGATGTAACGGCAGGAGCAGCAATATCGTTTTAGTCATAAAACAGTTTTAAGCATTTAGGTCAGTTTAAGCATAATGTGAAACTGTGCCCCAAGTCAGCAACGTGGTTTGCCATTTGTTTCCTTGTTCTGCAAATACAGTTACAATTTTACAACGCATTTATAGGACACAAATCCTCATTTACATTTTCCTCTCCAACAGAACTTTTTAAACTCCAGTAGCTGCCCTGAAATTCAAGGTTTCTTGCACGTGAAAGAGATGGGTAGGAAATCATGGAAGAAATTGTATGTGTGTTTGAGGAGATCAGGACTTTATTGTTCTACAAAAGGAACTTCAAAGGTAAGATGAAAAAAGAAGTTGCATGTAAAAGCATTTTCTGCTTTTACATTGGGTGTTTTTAAGTATCTGCACACAGTGCTGCCTTTTTATAACAGGTTGAAAAGGATAAGCAAGCCATGATCAAATGCCAGTCAAGGCCTGGGCTCTCAGTGCATGAAAACAGCTAATACAGCATTGTTATATAATAAAGCCAAACTAGCCAGACAACATCGTTTTGGCTACTGAAGCTAACAAGGTTAGCAAGAGAAATCATACTCTCCAAGCACGTGGTGCATTGAGTGAGTTTTAATGATGCCTTAAACAATATTGAATATTATCTAACATTCAGATTTCTCTGGAGCAATGAAGTAGGCTATGCTATTTTTACTGTGATGTGTCTAGATGAGAACTTTGTAAATTTCTTGTATGAAGCACCTTCTGCTTTTAGGCTGTTATCTGAAAGGTGAGGTGCCTGTCCACTTCAGGCTGCCTGAGAGAGGAGTGCAGTGTTCATACACTGCCCTCTGTTGGAGGTTGGTCCTGAGAGACTGCAAAGCAAGATCTTTCAAAAATCTCACACTTACCGGTGATAAAATATATTATTTCCCCAGGAGCCAAGACATTTGCAATTGTTGGCTGACCTAGAAGACAGCAATATCTTCTCGTTGATAGCAGGCAAGAAGTTGTACAGTGCACCCGCAGAGTATGGATTTTGTATAAAGGTAATTCTTCTCATTGAGCTCTTCCG